AGTAAGGTTTAAAAGTCAGACTATGTTTTACAAGGGAAATTGAGTCACAAAGAAATGACACTCTCAAGGTTGACCAGATCTGCAATGCTGCCAAGACAAATGCTCTGAGTCCATGCAGAAAATGGTGGCTAACTCACCACGAGACCTGCAACATCTGTGGCCCTTCTTCTTCAGAAATCAAGCCCCTTCTTTCTCTCAGGTACATCAGATCTGACTGACTTCAGAAACACATTTCAAAAATATCTAGGTCAAGCCCATCAGCATAGTGACCTCCCCAGTGGGGCATTGGCCACCTTTGTCCTTCAGGGAAGAAAGGCCAGCAGTCCCATGCTGCCACTCCAGGATGAAGTAGGCTTAACCCTTGCATACTAACCTTGTGCCACTACCACGACGTGATGCCACATTCAGAAGGACTTGGTTAAATATCTGTACACAGAAGGTCTCGAAAGAAGGTTGTATTTGTTCTCTTCTCCAAAAGAGAGTGTGACTTATAAAAGACACTGTTTTCTCTTTTACAACTAAAATGAATAGTATCTTTAGCCTTATGCCTGTTTTGAGAAGAAAAAATTAAAAGAAAGAAATGAAAGGGGAATAACTAGATAGAAGACAGAGAGGAGAAAAAGAGAAAAGAGTAGCATGAAGGAAAGATGAGGGAGGAGAGGGACGCAGTGAATGTGATAGGTTTGTTATCTCCAAAAGCATGTTTGCTTCAGGAAGATAATCAGCGAGGAAAACATTCTCATTTTCTTTTCTGACAGCTGGAACATAAACAGTTGCTGCAATAATATCAGAAATTATTGGACGTTTTAAGCATTCCTGCTAGGGAGAAGCCCGCATTACAGCCAATTTGAAACACTGGTCCCAAGGTGCTCTAGAAATTTTGCTTTTCCAGTGCAAGAGTGTCAGCTGTAAGATTAAGGTGATGTACACTGTCTAGTGGGCCACATGCTGGCCAGACACCAAGTTTGGAGTGTGACTCTCTGTACTCCGGGTTCCAGCCTGGCTATCCTTTACAGCCAGTGCTGCCCCATGAATAAGAGTTTCTGACAAAGCAGAGCAATCCTGGGAATAGTGTTTGAGATCCATCAACCCAAAATGAAACTCAGTTCTGACTTGTCACCTCCAAATGCTTCAAGAAGCTGGTCGGGATCCAAGGCAAGTGGGAGTTAGCTGAATCTCAAGGAAATTACTTCTAGTTCCCCATCTAGTTAGCACCTGTCTGAAGGGAGCCTAGAAATCCCCAGGAATAAAAATGTTCAGGCCCCAAAATGGTATGCATCTTTAAATCAGACATCCTCATGCATAAAACAGCATAAGCACTAAAAAAGGCAGTATGATAAGTCAGAGAATTGGTAAGCCAAATATTTCATCCACAGGGATCTTTAAAATGTGCCTCTGACATCAGATGAACTTTACAGAGACTCCTCATATTAAGCCAAAAGCTACTCTCAAATATCTAAAACGGACTTGCAGGTACCAGCCCTGATCACAAGGCAGGTTTCCTGTGGCTGGAGCCTTCACCATGGCTGTGTTCACTTGGCCCCAGTGAGTTTTGTCTACTAGATTTTTCCCCATAAAAGCACTAGACTTCTCCAGAGGGGGGGAAAAAAAGACTCCTGGATTTTTTCATTATTTGGAGGAACCTCTACAAACTACGTAAGGATAATTGTGATGGAAAGAGATATCAGACAAACAAGAAATTCACGCAATCCAGCTTTTCTGTGTATCCTACTCTGTAGCCATTCACTATTTCCTGTCTCTCCTAGGAGTGTTTATAAGATTTGTTCATGGCCTATGAAGACAGAATGAAAGCATCACATACATACCGTGACTATGGATGAGAATCCTGGTCAGTAAGTAAACAAGATGTGGTCTGGGGGAAGGGGAGAGAAGGAGATGGTGATAATTCCAGGAATGCTGCTAGTTCAGAACAGCTTTCAAGAACTATACTTCAGCAGTGAAGCAGAAATGAACAGCTTACATGAGCCAATAAAACAGAACTCCTCTCTCTGTTCTCTGCTGTTTATTGAGCAATGTACTGTTAAGACTGAAGTTGTTTTCTAAGCCTTTGATCCACTTCCTAATTTATAAGCACTGTAATATACACTGCCTATTCTTTTGTGAAGATGGAGCAGGCAAAATATCCTATTTTATATTTATATCCAGCCTATATCCTTCCCCAACTATATAAAATTTGGCCTCTATTAAGAAGATATTGAATAGGGCCGGGGATATAGCTCAGTGGCATAAGTGCCTGCCTGGCAAGCGCAAGGTTGTGAGTTCAATCCCCGGTACTGCAAGAAGATATTGAATAGAAAAACTATACAAAATACAAGGGGCTCAGTAGTCACATGAAATTCATGATGTATGTGTGCACAAAACTTTAGGCTGTTGGACTTGATAGCTCGCAAATGATAAGTGCAGAAACTGCATTTCTTTATAAATTATTTGGCATTTATTTATAAATTATTATTTATAACACACACAAAAGCAAAAACATATGCTCAAAAAGTAAAAGAATTAAAGGATTCTTTAGAATTAAAGATTCTTTTACATAGAATAAAAGGATTATTCACAATTGAGCACTGTACATAAAATTTACTGATCTGATTATTTTTTCAATGAAGATTTATCAGGGAAATTTTTCCTGAAAAATAAGGGGTATTTGTCATTAACCCTAAACAAAGAGGTCACTAAAGGGTAAAATGAATATCACAAGCAATCCTAAGCTTAACTAATAATAGTACTTTAAAATAAGAAGTATTAGATTCTCCATGAAATTATCCTAGTCTGTTAACTTAAAACTAGAACTAATAGCAATTTCAGGCTATACAATTTATAAAGTCAAAAGTAGCAACATGACAGCCAGGTACACTAAATTATCAAATAACTTTCTAAAATCCCTGCCTTCTTATTTTATTTGTTCTCATGACAATTCACTAAATTAGACATATTAGTTGATGTCATATTATGTTTATTTCTAGTTAAGATCACTGTTGTGTGTCCAATCAATTCATCCATCCATCTTTTATAGGGAAAAAAACAACAAATACTGGACAGTTGTTTGACTTAACAAAAAATAGCCAACTATAATTTTCCATCCAAAAATCCAAATCTCTCCCTTGTATATACCCAGAAAATAGGATTTTAAAATTCACATCTTGTATACCACACTATTCAGATTTGTACCAAACAACAGAAAATATTTTAACTTATGTAAAAGCAACTAACTGCCACCAAAATGTTTTTTCTCAGTCCCAAATCTATATAGAACACGCAAGTACCCAGTTATTCCAATCCTTGTAGGAATACAATACTAATAATTTAGGCTCTAGTGTACCATTTCCTGGATTTATTGATTTGGATAAAAAGACTAAAAGTCAACTAATCCCTAAGTTTTCTTTCCCATCATGCCTGTGTTGTCCCAGGCACATCTAACTGCGTTCACAGGTACACAAAATAGTGCTGTCCATAAGAATGGAGAATAAAACAGCTAGCATTATGCCAAGATGTCAAGCAATAATAATATCCCCCCTCCCAACACATATTAAGCATTACCTTTAATGATTCTGGACTACAGACAAAAAGTTCTGATTTCATGCAGGTCAAGATAGCTCAGAGCCTTTCATCTTTATTCATGATCTGCTCTGATCTCACTGAAAAAACAAAGGAACGCTCGTGCTGGACTTTTCAGTGTGCTGCCTCTAATCAAAACCTTTAACGATTTTTGTAGTTTCCAGGTATGATACCCGTTCTACTACTGTTGATCTTAACTGAAGAAATTTTGCTCAATAAGCAGCCCAGATAATATGCTAAAGTTATTCCAGTATAAAATGCAATAGAAACAATTGGTGCAGAAGTTACATAAAAAATACTGCATCCTTAATGTTAGGAGGATTGTTGATTATAACCAAAATGAAGTTACCTAAGCAACCACTCTGCAGCACATGCAATATCCAAATACATCTTAATTACAGTGGCTCAAGATCTAAAGTTCACTTCTGATAGGATTGCCATTACATGCACAAAGCTGTCATATCTGTATGTGGTTAAAAAACAAAACCCTCTGGAATATAAAGACTTATCCAAATGGCATATGACAATAGAATATAAATACCTGTAAGTAAAATAAGAAAATCATAGAAATAATTTAAGTAAAAAATAAGGGTAACACAAAAAAACCAACAACTAAACTGGGATATGGGAAAAGAGAAGGGAAAGAAGGAGAAAGTTTGTATATATGTATATGCAGGATAGTTAACACGGGTGTTCTACTGTCCTGTATTTCCTTGCTGAAAGAAACTGTCAGTGAGGCATTGGTTGATTAGCTTTGTGTGTCTATATGTGTTTTCATGAGAAACTACATTGAAGATATCAATATGTAATACAATAAGCATTGTTAATTCCCTACCACTCTGTTTGTAACTCTGTAATGTCTGTACTGATCCTATGCTATTTTGTAAAATGTTGTCGGTCTGTTAATATTTTCCTCCTTTTATTTCTAAAATAAAAAAAAAAACCAACAACTACAGTTGTTAAATTAGGAGTAAAAGCATTAAAGCACGTACATTCACATATACAAATTCACTCTTCCTACAGAACTGCACAGTGGTCTTATTTTTATTTCTAAAATATAGTGAGACATGTAATTATTATAACCTAAATATTTAGGAAGAGTATAGGAAAAAACGTCTACAAATTATATGGATACTATTAAATCACGTATAAAAAAATATACAGGACACCCAAACTTGCTGTTATTGCTAAAGACAGATTAATCTTTGTAAGATCAGCAAAGGAACATGAAGGCCTCCTTCACTTCCTGTGTTTCTACACATATGTGTCACTTGACAATCTCGGATCATGTTCCAGGATACATGTCATCGTTGGTGACTTGTGAATCCACAGGCCACAAAGTTGATAGACACAACCTCGGGGGAATGGGAAGGTCAAGAAAGCCACAAGCTTTCCATTTTCCAAGAAAATGAAGCAACTCTTACCTTTCTGTACACCAGCATGTTGGGTGATTCATCTGCCACCCCATTGCTGGTCTGCCCATAATTATTCCCCTGGGCCATGTCACCCAAAACTTGGTCAGCTCTCTGATGCAAGAATTACCCGTCTGTCCTGCAAAGGGTTATAGAGACTTCAGTGAGGTCCTCCTGGTCACGTTTCTGAGGGATAACTCCCCTAATTCATTTCCTATTTCCAGTGCCCACCCCACCGGAGCATGCTTACAAGCTGGGGCCCGGGGGAGTAGGGGTGGGAAGTAACACGGGACACAGATTTTTTAAAAATTAAAATAAAATAAAATGAGTTTACATCTGTAGTGCCCTGGAGAACTGTGGCAAATTACGATCCTCCAGTTCGACACAGTCATGTGGCTACGGTTTTAGTTGACTTCTTTCTCCGACACTCCGTTTACAAAGTAGGAGATGCTCTCCCTAGCAACCCATTGTTACCACTCCACAGTACTGGGACTTCTCTACCTGCACCTCCCCTGAGCGAGGCTTCCCCAGCACAGCCGAAAGGCTGCACCCAGGGCAGACACTTTCTCCCAGGTTTGGGTCTAGTTTCCCACGGGCAGGCGCCTCCCCCACTCCCGGCTTCGTTCTCCAGCGCAAGTGTTTCCTCCCGATTCCCCGGGGTCTCCCACACAGAGCCTGGGTGCACGCTTCGCCTCCTCTCACCTGCCTCCGCCGCCAGCCTCGGCTCCTCTCCTCTCCCACCCCACTGCACTTGGTCGGTCAGGGCGCAGTTTGCCTAATCTTTGCAAGAACGCATCGCAAGGTGTCCAGGCACCGAGAACGGGTGGGAGGGAGGTCAAGCCTTTGGGCAATTACCTGACTCGCCCCGGGCAGAAACCTAACTGCAGGAGCGTCCAGCCTGCCAGCCGCCGAGCGGGCAGCAGCAGCCCAGGTCCGCTCTCCGGCTCGCCCGCCCGGCAGCGGCGAGGGCAG